CAGCCCGAAAAATCCACAAAAAACTATGGATGCCGGCCATGAAAGCCTTCGACTTCTCTCTTCTACATTATTGCCTTTTCTAATGAGTCATGATGTGGCCCAGATATGAGAGCCTCAGTTTCATCATCTTGGCTTCCAGGGAGAATTCAGGCTTGATTTGTTCTAGGATCCCCTCCTTTGTCTTTTTGGCAATCCACAGTATCCTCAGCATTCTTCTCCAGCACCACATTGTCTCAAATGAGTTGATTTTCTTTGTGTCCGCTTTCTTCACTGTCCAGCTCTCCCATCCATACATAGTGGTGGAAAATACAGTGGATTGGACCATTCTAACTTTAGTGCTCAGTTGTATATCTTTACACTTTAGAATCTTGTCTACTTCTTTCATGGCTACCCTTCCCATTCCTAGTCTTCTTTCTTCTTGACTGCAGTTGCCATTCTGATCAGTTTTTGCTCCATGGTATGGGCTTTTGAAATCAAATTCTTTAAAGCGGAACAGTTCTTTTATTTGTTGTATTTATTATTTGTTTGTTTAATTTATATTCTACCTTTCTCTAGCAAGAGACCAAAGGCAGCTTTGTTTTCTGTTTTAATTACATTTGTTTGATATAAGTTTATTTTAAGTGGCCTTGGGTCTCATTCATGAGAGGAAGGGGGCATATAAATTCAGTAAATAAAACAAAATCAATTGAACACTGAAATAGTTCTGAGTGCAAGGCGGGATAAAATGTCATTACAATAAAATACAATGCAGAATTGTAGGACAAAAGATAACTACCACGTAGATTAAAGCATAACACTTAAACGGGATGGTCAGCAGCAGCAGCCCTTTCAACATTTCATAAATGTTGTAACCCGCCCCGATTGCTCCGCAGAGGGGCGGGCTATAAATAAAACTTATTATTATTATTATTATTATTATTATTACTACTACTACTACTACTACTACTACTACACAGTTATAGTGCCATGATTCTATTTTGACTGCCCTGGTTCTCTTCTGTGGAATCCTGGGATTTGTAGTTTAGGGAGAGGGGGTTAGAATTCTCACCCGGAGAGCTCTAATGTTGCCACAAACCAAACACCAGGATTCCCTAGTGTGAAAGGACCCTAGGAATGGAACAGAAAATGACAATTGACTAGGATAAATTGATAACATTTTCCAGTATGTATATGTCACTTTTCCTAAACTATGCTCAAAGCAGATCATGAGGACATCAGCAAATTGTCAGCATATAGTTATAACAAAGTCATAAACATGTCAAACATATTGCAGCTAGAATTGTGTATTGTGGTCTGTGTTGCATAACTTTATGTATACTTAGCTACATAGCTGAGGTATTGAGAAACACGCTTGGTGGATTGCAAAGATGCACAATGGGACTCAACAGTCCTCAACATAGTTAGCGAAAACTAAAAAGTGTTTGGCATACTTTGGAAACAAACTATAATTTGGAAACAAACTATGCAATGTAGGGTGGATCACTTGTATGTGCAAATTTTTTGTTTATTCTCAAATAAAAAGTTTCATTTGCTGCATGCATTTATCATTTTCTCCCCGTCCCGCCCCCACCACCACCACAGGAGTATATGGCCTGAGCAATTCATTGCTGGATACACCATGGAAGAAACTCCAGTATGGAAAGCAGCTCTTCACAGATGTCATCAGGCACAGCCAGGACCTTACAAAGGAAGATCTGGTGCAAGAGCTCATCAAAGTGATGAACAACCAAGAACCGTAAGGCGTTGTTAACTTGTTGTAACACATAATCATTTGGGGGGGAATCTGCAACTCCTCTAAATTTGCACTTTGCTGATAAGTTATGACTATTTGAAAACTAAGTTTTGGTTCATGAAAGAGAGAGTTTGTGCTTTCCCTGCAGGAATTGGCAGCACGTGACCTTGTAAGTAAAATGCAGCTCTCCACTCATTTTTGTGGGCCCCAGATCACTACCCCCTCAAACAGTTGGGAAACAATGTGCGGGGGTTTTTTAACCAAAAAAGGGAAGTCTTCAGGAATAAGAAGTTATTCTCTAGTCTAGAGCAAGATGTGCAACCTTGCTTTAATAAAAAACAGCATTGTACTTTTTTTAAAAGCTGGAAATGAGATTCAGATCATACCTGATTTTCAAAAAAGATCTCAGTAATATTTTGAAGGGAAGGCAGATTGCAGCAGGTCCTGGAGAGTGCAAAATTGACCCCTAGTCTTGTCAAAGTTGCCCAGCCTTTTTTTATTATTATCAGTCTAGGTTTATTGGGCTGGGAGTTTTGCTCTCCCAGCAAAACTTCCACAGTGGCTTGTATCAGAGAAGAGGAATATAGAACACTGCTTTAGACCAAGGCAGAACATTGATTCATCAAACTATGTATTGTCTATACTGATAAGTCTGCCCTAGCTTTACCTGGAGAAGCCAGGGATCAAAACAGTGACCATTTGTACTCTACTAGGAACCCAGGCCAACACACCGTGGCCTAGTTCAGAGGTGACAGCTAAGCCATACTGTTAGTGCTGTGCCACCTTCTGCTCTTCTAACACAATCTAATTTACTCAACTCTCTAGTTTAAGGAAACAAAGAGTGAGTAATATTGTTCGTTGTAACTCAACTCCCATCAGTCCTAGCCAGTGGAGAAGCATTGTGGGAATTGCAGTCTTAACAAAATCCAGGTGGCTACAGTTACCCAGCCCAGAGTAAACCCTTATTTACTGCAATGTCCAAACTGGGGGAAATGATGGTTTGCACAGACCATAGCTTGCCTCCAAACCACTGCTGGAGGCCATGATTTCATCTCAAGTTCCTCTTCTGGTGTGAGGGCCAGATTCACAGTTTGTTTTAGTTTCATGTCACTGCAAAATATGGTTGCTCAGTCAAGGAATGAACAAAGTGTGGATTGGGATAGGTAGGTAGGAATTATATTAAATTATTTTCATTTGAAACAAACAAAACTTTTAAATTTGAACAGAAAAGTTACAGCTTTATAATTTGAATTCAAAGGTGACCCCGAGGAGCAAGGGTAAATACAGGGAACAGGATGATTGTTGGATCCAATTGTCACACACTGACCTTTGTTCATATCATCTTTATTCCAGCTTTATTTGCAGTGTAAAAATCTTTTACTTGTACACTGCTTGGGAATCCAGTGGGAGGTGAAGAATATCCCCAATAAACAAATAATTGGCTATGTGCAGTGCCATCTTGCTGTCAAATAGAGAACATAGTGACCAAGATCCTACGTAATTTTAGCATACACTGGTGTATTTGCACAGTATTGCACAACTGACTGTGCAGCAAATGATGTGGGCCTGAGTTCACTCCTGATACACCAAATGTTTACTTGCAGAAAGGTTGGCTACCCAAGAGATGCCTTCCACAACTCTGAGTAAGCACAGGGTGTATAAGTCATATTAAAAAGGTGCCCCCAATTAATCATGTAGTAGATTCAGGCCTGTTTCGCAATGGTTGTATTGTATTACAAGTTATAAATCCATGGATGGCAGGCTTCCTTTTACAAAGGCATTTGTGTGTGTGTGCCTGTCAACTTATGGCGATCCCATGAAGGGGGTGTATGAGGAGTTTTCTTAAGCAAGGAGAATTCAGAGGTGGTTTTGCCAGTTCCTTCCTCTGAAATATAGCCTAAAGCACCTGGGATTGGTTGATGGTATTCCTTCTTACTCCTATTCAAAAGGGTTTGTTTTATTCTTGTAAGCTGGAGTCTGCTGGAACATGTTCATGAATCATTTGAAGATTTGACACAAAATCTCTGTTGTTCTTGTTACTGCTGCTAAAAAAACACACACCTTGACACCATTTTTGCTTCAGAACTATTGTTTTATT